CATAACAGAAAGCTATGAGGAATATGAAAACTTGATTGCCCCAAAAAAGCACTGTTACTGCAAATGACTCAAGAAAGAAATGCTGGTAGAAGACTGTTCTACATTTAAGTCAATATATTTATTTTACCGCTTGGTTCACTCTCAATGCAGCCATTTATTTTTAATTTAACAGCTGCACATTAGAGCTCTTAAACTTCATACATTTAAACATGAGGCTCAACAAGTGCATTTAGGTGCCATAATGAAAGATACATGGGTAACTCAAAGTGAAATTCGTTTTATTTATTATTCCCTGTGATGAATACCAATAGTCTGTTTTCTAACCTTTGTTCTATTTGCTGTAATGTGAACAGTGTGAAATGACTTGGCAGCAAATCAGGGCCAACGCACAAACATTAAAATGCATTTTCTGCATCGCCAACCAAACACATGCAGGTTCCCATGGCAACATGATGCATAGAGTTTGCCTTCTGCAAAATGCACAGCTTTGCTTAGTGGTATTAATGACGTACAGCTCGAGTCTGAATCTGTATCAGTCATAGAGAATAAGAACTGGTGAAAGGCAGCACTCTTTACAGCTAATTTAAATGCCAAACTCGAAACAGGTTAGCTGCACACAATAAGTTACCACGGTGATGCTGAAAGAGAAACACCTCCATGACATTGAAAACTCTGGCTTTAGGGTGCAACATACCTCACTAGCCCATTAATCTCACTGTACTTGGGGAGTAAACCCCCTCAGGTCTGGCACCAACAGGGAAATATTACACGGTAATGTTCTAGCCATGAACACAGTTTGTTTTCCATGTGATTTGTAATCCTCACGTAACCACAGACAAACATACTTTTTGCTTGTATTAGGGCTGGGCCATATCATACTTTGCACGGTAATACCGGTGTAATGTTAGGGGATGGTATGAAATTGAAATATCGCAATAAAATTTGAGTGAAACGCGCATGCGCAGTGCCGTTGTTTTTGTCTGGTCTAATGCACACTGAGCAAGAAGCATGGCAGCGACCGAAGAGGAGGGCAAATGTAGTGCATCAAACGACACATGGGAATATTCGGTCATTGTGGTGGTATAGGCAAAGCACTTTTGAGATACGAATATTCGCCCACCACCCGCCACCACCCAACGGTGGAAACAGAACTGTGACCGCTAATCTAAATTGGCATTAGCTGCCAAGTACGTACTGCCTGTGTGTCCCGCACACTTCCACCCTGTTGGTACGAATATTCACCTGCCGGTATACACCCCCAATATAGCTTATGCACATCAAAAACAGCTGCTTGTTAAATGGAAAATAAACTGTTCTTTTTTTAATTCCACCAACAAAGTTGTGCAGTTTTGAAATATTTTGTCTAGCATCAATTATATTGTCAGTTTTGTCGTTATCGCAAATTTTCTCATTTATATTGTGATAAATATTTTTGGCCATATCACCCTGTCCTAGCTTGTATTTTAGGTTATGACCCCCCAGTCCAACCTCTTCACACGCACACACTGCCTTAACACAAAAGCAAATCCAATATTTGGCCGGCCTGCTGGGCTTCGTTTTAGCTACGATTGAATAACTGCTGTTCAGGGACGAGGTTCAGCAAACAATCAGATACCTCAGTCTGCCTCAGCTGGACTACATCTGCTTCAGCAGTGAGTTCACGAAGGAGTCCTAGAACGCTTTTCAACACCCACTGAGGAATTAAACGTGGCCACATGGGCACATAAATACAGCAAACAAGCCACTTATTTTGTGAACACAGATGTGTGCCTGTGATTGTGGACGTATCTCTGACTAACACTTACTGTAAGTTGTAGCTGCTGTGCTTTGTGGAAAACTGAAATCACTGTGACTTGACATATGTTCTATTTCTACAAATGTTTTTTAGATAAATTAAACATGAGTTTTCAAACTATAAAGTGCAAACTCTAGAAAGACTGATTCATAGTTACTGGCACCATGTTAAGCAGTGTGTGTTGATGTTTTAAATAGCACTGTAGCTGTAGCCAAAAATATCTCAGGATGCTGTCAACACCTGGCCCATCAAAATAAGGAACAACAGACCTCAAGACAAAAAAAGACTGCTTACTATTAGAGCAGCATGGGCTTATTTTCCGTAAAGACAAGCCTGTCCGCTAAAAGTGGCATTTATATTCTTCTAAATGGCAAAAACAATTATATTTTGAGATTAACAAGTCGCCTGAGGTATGGTTTGTCGCCAACATGACTGAAGGAGCATTTTTTTAATGAATGTGTCTAAAAAGCTGCAAAATGTTTGTGTCTGCAAAAGGTTTTGATTCCTGTTTATGTGGTTATTTTTAGGCACATGTTGCACTACTGAGAAAAAAAAATCAACAGTGACTTGAAGCACAAGATATAAAGTACTTATTTTATTGACATCTAAGTTAAACTATGATGTTTTCCCAACCCTTAAATGATGTGCTTTTGTTTCCTGAACCAGAATATAGTCAGACTCAGGATGCAAATCCCACTGTCTGGTGTCAAAGGATTTTTGAGTCAACCGGAGCTACAATGATTAACTAACTGATTGATTAGTTGTCAACTACTACATTTGACACCAACTACTTTGACTTTGACAATCAATTAACCAATCTAAATATGTAAGTCAAAAATTCTCCAATTCCATCTTTTAAATTTGAATATTTTCTGGCTCTCTTTACTCGACTACGACGAAATATCTTTGGATTGTGGACAAATCATAGAGCAAGCAACTCATCAATAGATGAACAGACATTTAAAATAATCTTTACTTGCACCATCATCCACTTTAGCTTCTTCTATAAAACTGCAGGTAATGCAGAAATGCAGCGATGACATTTCCCTTCAAACATATCTGACCAAGCTAAGAGAAATTTACTACTTAATAGTCACAACTTTGAGGAGACCGGGTTGCTTAAAATGAAGATGCTAACTTATGTCTTAGGGAAGCAACGGTACATGACGCGTCTTCTGTGATCCAAAACAGTCAGAAGTTTGTTTGTATCTACAGGAACAAACATTTTCCAGCTTGAGTTCCACCTGGAACGAGCTGGCAGTGCACCAGCTATAGCATGCTAGCAGGGTTAGCCTTAAAAGCTGGGCGCACACACACACATATTAGACATGTGCGTTGTGTTGACTCGTGCTACAAGTTGAGTTTGAACTTTAATTGGTGTTCCTGTGCAGGCAGAATCTACAACTCGCATTGTATGGATCAACTGACGGGCCACCACATGGAATTCACACTAAATATAAACAAAAAGCCTCCAGGCGCTTCTGTCCTGTGACAATTCCAATAAAGTTTTTCAAACTAGATGCAAACAGTGTGCACAAAAAGACAAAGTTTGGGTTACTTTTACTAAAGCTGAAATGCATGCTGGCTTTAATGCCTAACTTAAGTTAATTATTTCACTTGTCTTCTTTGACATCTTTTATTTTATTTAGTCTTTTGTTGTTGACAGTGTGTCTTAACAAGTTCGTCTTCTCTGCAGAACCAACAACGTGCAGAACCGTGACACCATGCACACAGTACCATGAATCTTGCGTACAGCTACACCCCTATTATGCGAAGAAAACCCTGAAAGCTGGCTCCACTAAGAAAGCTGAGGGAAACAGATGCTGTTAATATTTGTGAGAAACTGTCGAGAGCAGAAACACTCAAGGTTTCAGCTCCACCTGGGGATCACGACCACGGCTCACTTTGCCGGCTCTCCCCCCGGTCGCAGATCAACCACACCATACAGCAGGATGTATTAAACAATACAGCTGTCCGCCTTGATTCCTCTCCACAGTTTGTCTCTGCAACGATTACTCGCCTCAAGTAAAGCCTCCTCATTCATCTGTCTCTCCCTTGTTGCGCCAAATGAGAATCAGATGTTTTGCAGAGGAAGGACAGACCCCGCCCATCCTGCGCTGCTGGGGAGGTCGGACAGCATCTGCGTATTGTGCACACATCGACAGGAAGTTTAACATTCCACCCAACTTCCATCACTGGCCGGCAGCTGAGGCAGAAATCTAGCAATGCCTTTTCATTATGGTAAACCAAGCTGATCCATAAAAGCCTGCGCATGGACGTAGATATAAGTAGTGGTTGACATTACCTATGGAAATAAATGCAGCGGGATATATTTTATCACCTGTTCTTGGTTTGGCTTCCACTGTGGAGGAATTTCTACAGCTTGCTCATGAGGCTTAAAATTTAGGACCAGGGCTTAGAAGACATCCTCTGGTGCTGCCCTATCGCTGCCCTGTCAAAAGCATGACTTTCCTAAACAAAGACAAGGCCCCTTTCACCCCACAAATTCCTTGACAACTGCTGCAAGCTTCCTGCTGGCATTTGATATGCTCCATTTCGTTCCCATGACCAAGTTCCAGTCATGCTGAGGCTTTCGCCAAGCAGTTGAAGGCTTGTCTCGCTGACACTCCGACGCTTTTTCTGCACTCTGATGTGAAACTTCTCTTATTCTCTTAACCAGTGAGAGTGTCACAGTGAGTCAAATATGATTTAAACTCAGGTTTGCTTTCTATGTCTCCAAGTGCGCAGTGAAGGCAGTGTGTCTTCCTGCAATTACAAGGGAAGACAATGAGGAGCCACTGTGGGACATCATGTGTAATTAGTTTTTACCTTCAGCGGTTAGGATGGAGGCTTTTCTTGGAGTTTTGGTTGCTTCTATTCGAGTTCACATAAAGCCCTATGAAATCTCTGCAGTCATCTAAGTATATAAGGACTGCAGTGATAGTGAGCTGGTTAAGGTCAAACACAAAGAAGCCCTATGATCAGAAAATGAAAAATTCCTTCCTTCTCAGAGCTTCACTTTCACTTAGTAAGGCCATATTTATCCATTCAGTGTTGGAATCTGAACCAATGACCTTGTCATCAAAACCGCACTTGTCTTGACTTATGCCTTGACAGTGATCGTCCACTGGCATCCCATCTATATGAAACCAGACGCAGCCCCCCTTCCCCTCTCTTTGTCTCCTCAGCGCTGGGGTAAACTCACCAAGCTGACTCTGTTTTTCCCAGCATGTGGTTGCCAGGTTGGACAGTTCCCGGTATTTCTCCGCCAGTTGGAGTTTGCCGTTATTAAGGCGGGGTCGTCGAGCAAGGCTCTCCTCAGCCAGGCTCCGGTTGGAGGTCAGCAGCGTCTCCCTGTCCACTTGAAGGTCCTGGAACTGAGCATAGAAAACCCAAAGTAAAGTCAAATTAACTATCTTTTTTCTCTTTAACAGCATAACGAAGCCTCACAGACTCACGTGACGACCATCTATCATGCATGTGGACCAGCTGTGCAGCTCTGTGTATGTTGTTGCATTAAATTATTCACAGAAAATTATATATTCCTGTAATATTCATGCTGATTAGGGAGAGACTTTCATTTGCACACCCTCCTGCAAATGGGAAAATTTATTTGCAACTGTTTAGATAATCATTCTCTACCCCCAGCCTCTGAAATGTGAAAAATTCAACATTTTGTCACTGTGAAAATGTGTGTCCCTGGATTTGCTTAGAGATCGAACATTTAAAGATGTCACCTTGAGCGCTGAGCAACTGTGATGGACATTTTTATAGAGAAAACAATTAACTAAGAAAATAACACAGATTCTTATCTGGATTTCGATTTTATCCAACACCATCAGGGAGGCATCTAATTTGTGTCAGGTTTATCCTGCGGCACGCCAACAACCCCTAATATGCAGCCAGAGCAGGTGTGGGTAGTGTACATGTGAGAGGCTGATTTGATTGGGGCTTTTTTCTTTTTATTGCACTTTGTATAAAAGGTATTGACCAATAAAGACCATTCATGGCATTTTTTATGAATATATTGCCACTCTACTCTTTTCTTTTTTTGGAGGTAATTGTTTAATGCATTTCAAAATCTGTTGAATAAAAAACTATTGTGACAAAGCATGTGTGTTGCAAGGCTGTAGTTGGTTTGCTGATCGCTGTGTTACCTAGCATTCTGCATTCAGTGACTGTGTTCATGCTGGTGAGCATTCAGAGCGCATTTTTGCTTGAGAGACCAGGTCCTGTGAAAGCTCATTTTCTCTGCAGTTACAGTGAAACTTATAATGGCGTCTTGCATTAAATCACTGAAAGGTGAGTCCTGGTGGTCCTTGTGCTCCATACAGCACAATGCAGAGTTAGAGCCACCACAGCTGCAAGAGTTCATGCAGCAGAATTACTGAAGTGAGGTGGTTCTCTATGTACTTCAAAGCCACTAGGAACTGCCCGATACAATCACTGTTGTACGCAGACTGCCTTATCTTCCACTGCTGGCAAATGGAAACTGCACAGAATGCAGAATCACCTGGAGTTAACCGACCTGCTCAGGGGCACCTCAACAGTATCTGCTGAAGGCGGGGGGGGGATGAGTAATATCGCCTCTCACATCCCATTAAACCCAGCACTGGCATTTGCACAGGTCACCATCCACAGTGAAGCTGAACTTTGACTTCAACAGAACCCGAACAGATGACAAGACGATAGACTCTCTGACACAAGCTGCCCACACCTCTTCCTCTAGAGCAGCCTGTGAGTGACAAAAACATCAAGTCGTTTTACTTCCAAATGAAGAAAACTGCACTGTAAATGTCAGTTTGCATATTAGATAGATAACTAACCAGCTGGCTGTGGCACACTGTCAGCGTCTGTCAGTTGTAATATTGGTCTTTAACACTACTGCTCACAAACAGGGATGGGAATAATTAGAATTTTAATGATACTGCATCATAGCATTCATATTTACACCAAATGTACTCTTATCAGCACAATACAATGTAAAACTAGGCACACCAGTGCTTAATGAGACATACATTTACTGCGGCATACTGCAAACTGAGACAGAAACAGAAACAGAGAATGGAGCATGTGAGGTGTGAGATCAGTGGCTTTACAAAAGCTTTGACAGATATTTCCTACAAAAAAGGGAAAACATCAGATGTAGATGCATTTGAAAATGTGCGACATTTAGGAACAGACACTTTGACAGAATGAAGATGTTAATTTAAGCCCTAAAGATTTAAGATTTATATTTTCTAAAGCCTTTAACTGTGGAGCTGTTCTTGAAACCAGCGTTACCTTGACTCGAGGTCAGTTCATCGTATTACTCATTGCATTGGATCTGCTTGCCAACACAAGTTAGCCAAAGGGGAGCTGGCTGGCAAGTGGAAAATCTACAATAATGTGGCGCATTGTCTCATTAAGGGTGACATGTCACCTCTGTTTCACACAGCTGTGTTAGTAACTGTTTCACATGCACTCTCATTAGCTGCTTTTTATTTGTTCTGCTACAGTTTCAGCCCTCTTCACAGAGCATTTCAACCTGTCCACGATACACACTCCACAGGACGAAAACAGAACCAAAGGAGGGCATCACCTTCATTCGACAGCTACCTGCAGGCAAAAAGATAATATAACAGGAAGCAGGCGCAAAAAAAAAAAAAAGATTTACCTACAAAATACAAAATGAGTGACTTCCAAAAAGTGATAGCTGCACAAACAGCTGCAGGAGCTTATTAGTGTTATAATCTGACCAGTTAAGAACTGGTTTCAATTTAAAACCGGTCTGTGGTTAAAAAAAAAACAACAACAAAAAACCCACGAACAAAACACGGTCTGTGTTTGCCTTTTAAGCTACAATTATCAGACAGTCTGACTAATACTTGATGATGACACACTTTCTAAATAAATGGGGTCATTGTTTATTAACTGACCTCCAATGTATTTTAGAAAGTAGTTATAATCCCTCTAAAACAAAGCTTGACTCCACACTACCACATGCTCTGCTACATGTGCTGCAGACAGTGCTGAGAGTATTGCAAACGTTGGAGTAGGAGCTGCTCTGCTGCACAAACAACGTCATGACACTGTTTCTAATTACGTCAAGCATCTGTTTTTTATATTATGTTTGGTAAAAAGAAAGTGTTAATAGACCAATATCTTTCAGTTGGGCTCCAAATATTAGCACAAGTTTGTCAAATTTGTCCCTGTCGGGACTGAAAAAGCCTGTCATGTCTTAAATCAAACACAGTCTAACAGACATCCAGAGGTTTAGCAATAAAAACTGGCATTTATCTGGTATTTCCCAAGAGGCATTTTTTCTTGCTTTCAAAAACAGGAAAATAATAAATGTATAAAGTTGTCTCATATATTACAGGAGATGTGCGCTTGGATTTTTTCTCTTCAATCGCTTCCTTGTACAATCTTATGCAATTTCAATCTTAGCCAGGAAGAAAGGAAAGTACAGAGAGGTATTGACTGAAAACAAATACACTGAATGCAACATAAAAAGAAGAATAAAAACTGTAGATAGTAATTATCGTAAAAAAAAAATTTTTAAAAAAAGGTGACAATTCTGTAACATCCTGTCGAATGCAGTCGCCATGCTGTTGAGGGATTGAGACACTGAGGAAAGGGTGTGGAGTGTCACGCTGTCACTAGACCATAAGAAAACCATGAATTATTAAGTGGATGCCACTCCCTTTAAGTCTCACCAAACAATACAGTCACAGCATTAATGATTGGAAACACTGACACAAAGCCACCTCATGAGCTTGACAAAAATCTGAACCCCGCTTTACTATTCCACCAGTCTCAGCATTCCTGCGATTCTGCCCAGCCGGATACTTTTCGTGCTCAATTGCTCTCTTTCAACAGTCAGTCACTTTGGGCCTAAAGGCCATTTCATTGAGTCCAGAGTTGTACGGTGCATCTGTCTCACATTTTACGGGTCATCAAAAGGATGTGGAGTCCCAAGTTTAGAGGAATTTGCAGAATGTGCCCTGGAGTTAATAGACGGCCCGTCTAAGTGTAGAAAAAGACACCACAGATCTGCTGTTTACTCTGAGGAAAAAAAAAAAGATAGCAGAGTTCGTTTTGGACTTGCAGCCCAATCGTCTGTCCCGTTTTCCTTAAACAGGATTCAAAACGGACGCTCCATTTCCTGCCTCGGCTAGTCCGCCCCGTTTATCCAACAACTGCTGCAGTCTTTAGGGAAAGGAGTGTTTTCTGTATTTTGATGCACGGGCTGCAAAGCAAGGCTGACAGTGTTTACCAGCCCTGACAAATGACACTTGGGGAGCACTTAGGAACCGGGAGTACTGCAGACGAGGTGCAGTGCTGTTGTTTTCTGCGGTTCAACATGTCTGGCCGCATGAAATGGACTAAATAGGTCTTGCTCTCTTATCTTAAATGAGGCTCAGGCTGAATGAGGCTTCTGCAGTCTGAAGCCATCAATTTAACAGTCAGTCAGATTAAATTGACAGCCTGAAAGTCTTTTCCATGAAAGGGAATTCTTCATGTAACACCAAGTATGAGCTACGCTGCCAGAAATGAAGGACTGTGCTGCAAGTCTCCAGTGGAAAGCCAGTCAACTTTCTCCACCATTTCAGAACACCTTAAAAGGGTCGACGATCAATATTTAACAATAATAATGGATAAAACAACACTGTGCCTTCGCAAAATAATGTCGATCAAAATTCCGATCTAACACATGAAAACAAACCTATGAATGTGACCGAGCATTCAATGTACACTTACAGTACTTGAAATTTTTGATATTTCTGGGATTAGTTGGCATAATCAATAACGCTGCTGCTGAAAATGCATCAACATCAATGTCTGAAACCAACATACAGTTTTTAAACCTTTAATTTTTTGCGGATAGCGGCAGGCGAATATTCGGATCTCAAAATTGCTATGCGGACACCACCACAACCACCAAATATTCCCATATTCGGGTCAGCCCTACTGTGTCGGTCGATACACTGCATTTGCCCTCCTCCTTGGTTGCTGCCATGCTTCTCTCTTCATGTGCATTAGACCAGATGAAAACAACGGCGCTGCGCATTTCAATCAAATGTTATTGCGATATGTCAATTTCATATCATCTCCTAACATTACACTGGTATTACCGTGCACGGTATGATTTGGCCCAGCCATGTTACAAAGCATGGGAGTGCTTTGAACTACCACAGAACAAAAAGGTGGTTTACACACTTTGCAGAGCTTCATTTGCACAACAACAGCAGCAGCAGCAGCTCGATTCACAAACACCTGGAAAGAAATTGCACGGCTGCTGTTCACTGTGGAGGCATTTTACATCCATTTGCATCTCTCCTGCTCTCTGTGCTCACAGACACTGTATTTTCAGCCTAACTCATAATGAGGCTCTTCTCATGTACAGATTTGCCTGTTTCTGTTGTCAGACACCAGAAGAACTATGAAGTAGTGACTGAAACGCAGCCATGAAGACGTCATCTTACCCACCAGTCATTTCCACACTGCAGCTCTGCACTGCTAAACCACAGAGTTTATTACTGCAACGTCGTCTGACAAACTTGCCATACAGGAGTAAAAGATTGCAGCCATATTGTGAATTCGGCTCACAGAATTCTGAGCTATTAACAAAGAAAAAACAATTACACAATGAGGAGATAAATAGTTGCTTTAGCTGCTCTGTCCTTGTAAAATATCCATCAAGTCTGTGTTGCACTTTGGTTAAGGAACAAACTGACTTTTTTATTTTGTTAAAGGGTTTAATGGAAACTTGGATTTCTTTTGAAGCTGCACTACTGATTCAAATAAAAACCCTCTTTTTCAAATGTATTTTTACCATATTAGATTTTCAATTTAAACTTCGCAGTTTTGCACTCAAAGACGTAAACCTTTGTTTGCATTTCGCATTGTGCTACTTAAGTGTTTCCTCTACATTTATTTAGAAGTGGCGGGCCGCCATTCCTAAATACTAGCCACTGCTCCTTCAAATTTCTTTTTTTTTTCTTTAATTGTCGCAAATACACCACCACCGCATGTCTCCACCTTCACAGCAGAGTCCTGCACTGGGTCGGGTACTTGTGAGTACTAAGCTAAACTACGGATAACTATCTTGCTCAGTATTTCCTCTTTGGGGGATTAATACGACGTTAATTACTGGCGAATACTAAGCTAAACTACAGATAACTATCTTGCTCAATATCTACTCTTTGTGGGGTTAATACTGTATTAATTACTGGCAAGTACTAAGGTAAACTACAAATAACTATCTTGCTCAGTATCTACTCTTTGGGGCCTTCATACAACGTTAATTACTCGCGAGAGTGTGAAGTTACGTCCAGCACCAGGCTCCAGGTCAGAGAGTCAGAGGAGGGTCGTCTTGGAGAATAGGGCAGAGACTTAACGGAGAAGAAAAGCTAGACTTATTAGCTTAAGGAAACTCAGAATAGATTTTACAAGTTAAATAGACATTCGCAAAATATTGATGTCCAGCTAACGTTACGTAACATATCTTAAGTTAATTGGGCCCAGTGTCACTAACGTGAGTAAACTAATTGATAGCATTAAGCTAACATCCACACCATGATGTAACTGCTGACTGCATCTTCAGATGAGCTTGTTTAAATATTGATATGAGAAAGACACCTGATGGAGATGATGCTATTCAGGTATCATTAGCCTTTTACTGACCCATAAATGATGATGGTCAGGTAAAAAATAGTGTTCACACTTGTAATCAGATGTGATGTGAGTGTAAAAGATCTAACGTTAATGTTTTATGCAATCGCATAAGACAAGCAACATTAGACGGGAGGAGCAGTGGACAGCAGCAGACATTAAAATATATCATCAGACACAAACTAGACACAATTTTTAAATTATTAGGGTGTAGGAAATTGAGAGAAAGTATTTCATTATTGTTTCTATTTGTAGGTGAAGACTCACTTGAGAAACAGGCTGCAGGGAATCAGCTTGCAGCATGTATGCTGCTGAGCCTCTTGGAGAATTTCCCAACAACAGAGCCTTAGAGCTCATCTATAAAAAAAACTCAGAAAAATGAATTGTTCTGAGCATGGGTGCAAACTTTGCCACTGATTCTACCAGCCCCATCAAGAAATTATTATTTATAGTTTTTATTTTTATTTATTTAATTTTATTGTTTTATTTATTTATTTATTTTACATTCAGCCTTTAAAAAGCCATTTTCAACTGGCCATTCAATAAATAGATTGTAAAAGTAAAATCTGCAGTCAAGTCAATTGTTTATGCCGCCACGGCTACAGAAAGCCTGCCCCCACTGCTGGAAAAAATCCTAGAGGAAACACTGTACTTACAGTTAAAATACATAAAATGAACTTAAATGAAATGATCGTTTTGCTGTTTTTGAGGAAAATTATTTGTTCATAAAATCTGCACAATAGTCAATACACTATTCAACACAACGAAGAACAGAATAGAATAGAATAGAATAGAATAGAATAGAATAGAATAGAATAAAATTTTATTGATCCCTTCGGTATTTATTATATTTACTCAGTGTTGCAAACACATTAATATCCAAACCCACCTGTTGGGTTTAAAGTACCGTCCCTACCCCTGGTTTTCACTTTGTTGTTGTTTTTTTTTCATTTATCCTGAATGACTTAGAATGGCAGCACATATGAAGTTGTTGAGGGGGTCACATGAGGTCTTTTCTCTGCTTCACTTTTACTGGTGATTTCTACCTGTAAGCTGTTTTCCCTCCAGAAAATTAGGGTTGGGTATTCAGCAATTAATCTCAGGATTTCAAAACAGCAGCATGTATTGCAGTCAGACTGGAAAAACCACTACCTGACATATAGCTTGTTGTACAACCAGATATAGCTGGGAATAAGAACACAACTGCACCAAGTTGGTTGCAGAATTCATGATTATGAATCATTATCTGTGATTAAACTCTTTGAATTACATAACAATCATCATTAAGATTGAGATTGACGAGCTGCACTGCTCCCACAGTTCCTATGGAAATGACAGCAGGCCAAGTGACAGCATATAGTTCATGTTTTGATATTTCGACGTGCATCATTGGGAGCAGCTCAGATGTCCTCTACAGACACAAGTTCTGCATTATTGGTTAACAACGGATAAATGGGAGCCAGGGGTGATACTCACTGAGATGTCCCCAGCTCTGAGTCACTGCGCTCGACTACCAGGGGAGGATTGTAGGACCTCTTGGCTCCATCGTCTCAATTCATTCACAGAGGCAGGTTTTAAATGTCAAATCCTTCGACCAGAACGGAGCAAAAGAAGTCTATGTTCCTAAGCTAAATCACAAGACGTCCACCTTTTGCCATCCTAATAATACTGATTTAACAAGATGACCTCACTGCGAAAGGTCCACTCCTGCAACAATGTGCAGAATATTTTAATTATTAAATTCCCTGGATGTTGGCTCAACTGCAGTGAGAACATGTATACACCAGGATGACTAATCCACACTGGTTATGTTTCACTGCACACACTGTTGTTATCACCCCACCCATAGCTGTGAAAAAGCCATGCAATTCTATAGCTGGCTGAATCCTGACAGAGTCTTTTCTGTTTGCGCAACCTGAAAGGAAAACCTCATCTAAATGGGGCCCATGAAAAAGTTTGGGAACCAGTTTTATCTGTTTTTCTCTTTCACTGTGAGTGTGTTATTCATATTGTGGGGATGTAAATCTATTAACACAGTCGCATTGTGTGGACAAAGAGCAAGTCCCCATAACGTAAATCATCAAACTGTAATATGCAGACTTGGTTTAAGGCTAAGGGTGAGGGTTAGGTAAGTAGTAGTTTTGGTCTGGGTTATGGTGAGTCTCCAGGAAATGAATGTAAGTGAGTGTAAGGTCCTCTGAATAGATGGAAACATGACTGTGTGTGTGGGGTGTGTGTTTGAATGCATGTGTGGGAATACCACAGAGAGGGATGTGGTGTCGCCTGACGCCAGGAAGGTCACCAATGTAGCCCTGAAACGTGCCTCTGACATGGAGAGTAGGTCGCATGTAATTCCCTTTGAAAATGTGGCGATTTAAATTCGCCGGGTGTATACGCAAAGCTGCTCAAATTAAAGAACACCACTTTGAGTGTTTTCAAAGTGGTCTAGACCACTCCTCAATTCGGCATTAATTTACGGTAGCAAGACGCAACGTATTTCGAAGAAAATACTATTTTATTTAGAACAAGCTAGTATTGCGCCGTAGACTGTCGCCTGAGCGAAGACGAGGACACGCAGTTATAAAAGTTAAAATTTTAATGAAATATGTGTTGTTGTGTATATTTAAGTAATGCCGAATTAAAAAGCGTGCCGTGAAATAGATTTTCCTCTCCAGTAATCCTCTGCTTGGTTTGCAGGACCTCGGCTGCATGACGCAACTAAACAATGGCAGATTTTTAAAAGGCAGTTCGGCGCAAGGACTCGAACCACATAACGGCGCGTTTGGGGGGCTTCAACACCACAATGTGATGCTTTCTGCACAATAGTACACCAAAATTATCACTTCTACTAAGCACACGCGTGAATTCTTCAGTGTTTCACGCCTGTTCAAGCAACTAATCATTCACAGCGAAAAATAAGAGAAGGGGGTTTGTGGAAATTGGAAATCCGACCGTTCGCCACGCAGACAATCGATGAGCCATGTACTGCGAGAGGATTTGCTTTACACACTGCACATGAAGAAGAGACGGCTCATTTTCAGCAACAACAAAAAGCAACGAAAACGCTTGTTAACTGAGGCAGGGAATAGAGCACGTTGAGTTAGCAAAGCGCCGAAACAGCGCAAATTCCTCACGGCACTTTGGTTCTGGGGGGGGGGGGGGGGGACGGAGGATACCTACCTTCTCATTGAGGCGAATGATTTGGTCCATTTTGTCGTCGTTTTGTAAAAGCTCCTGCAGCTCGCCGGTGCTCAGAGCCCTGTAGCCGTCCGGACAAGTGCTGGACTCCTTTAACTTGGACATTTTCAAATTGCGGCTAAAGATGGTTCGGAGACATAAAGTCCACACAGCGGTCACATCTCGCTCACAGTGGAATGCGTTGCGATCCGTGTCAAACTCGCAAACGTTACATTTTGCGCAACTTCCGGCCTTCAAAATAACACACACGTTTTTTTCCATTGCTTCTCTGAAGGTAGATTTTTATTGTCAGTTTCTCTGTATATATCCAGGACATACAGTGAAACCAAAAATATGTTTCTCTCTCACCTTGTATTAGTGCCATACATTAAATAAAAGGATCAAAATACAGATAGAAGAGAAGAGTTCTTTACTGTCACTGGGTTACTTGTATTGAGGAGTTGGGTGCAGTGAGGGGTTGGATGGGGGTGCGGGTGGAGGTGGAGCAATGGCTCTCACAGCCATGCGGGTAGAGGCTGTGCATGAGACGGTTTGTTTTAGTATTTATTGTCCGATATCTTTTACTAGAGGGTAGGGGGGAGAACAGAGGGTGAGTGGGGTCCTTTGCAATAAATGTGGCCTTCTTCTGAAGTCGGCTGGTGTAAATGTCTTCCAGGAGAGGTAGTGTGATCTTCGTCCGTGTTTAATTTATATGGCCTGATATAGGAAAATAAATAATTGGAACCAAAAGTGTTGTGAGAGACTGAGTTTCTGGTCCGATTAACATGTCAGAATCAAAGACACTGGTTTACAACCTGTAGAGGCTGAAAGTGGGACGTAGTCACTATATGCAGTGAATGTGTTTTAAATGACTGTAGTGTGTCTAAAAGGTCCAGTCACTGGTAAATCAGTACTCCTGGCAATAACTACACCATGAAGACAAAAAAGGAAAATCTAAGCAACTCAGTGAAAAGGTTATTGAAAAGCATGCGTAAGAGGATGGATACAAGAAAATTTCCAAGTCACTGACTATTCTTTGTAGTAAAGTTAAGAAATTATTGTTACATTAAGAAATGCAAGAAATATGGGACATGCATAAATCTGTTGAGAGCAGATAGTCCTCAAAAACACTGAGATTCATGAGGGAGGCCACCAAGACACCTATGACTCCCCTGAAGGAGTTACAAGCTTCAGCAGCTGAGATGGGAGAAACTGTACATACAACAACCTCTGTATGTTGCTCACCAGTCAAAGCTTTATGGAAGAGGGGCAAAGAAAAATACTTTTGAAAAAAAGCTCATATTAAATCTTAACTTGAGTTGAAGTTAGGAGACATGTGGGAGACTTTGAAGTCAGTTGGAAGAAATTCTTTGGTCTGATAAGACCTAAATTGACCTTTTTTCACCATCAGAACAGACGCTATAATGGACACCAAATGCTGCACATCATCACAAACACACAGTCCAGCATCACGATGTGACGCATGGCAGTGGCAGCATCATAATGTGAAGCATGGGGGTGGCAGCATCATGGTGTCGAGATGCTTCTCTGCAGCAGGCCTTGTAAAGGCTGAAGGTAAAATGAAGGTAGCAAAGTATAGGAAAAACCTGGAGTAAAACCAGAAGCAGTCTGCAGGAAAACTGTGAGTTGGGAGGATATTTGTTTTTCAGCTAGACAATGTCGTGAAGTATACAGCTAAACCTACACAAAAATAGTTTGTGGATGTTCTTGTGTGTTTTCCTACTTGTTTTTGAAAAAGTAAAATTTTCCAAGCATGGTCACTTGTGAGAAGGCAGATAAAGACAGATGATGTGTCCCTATTGTCTTGTTTCTGCCAATTTGTGATTTAATTTGTAATGCTGATATATTTCTATGACAGTGTTGTCAGTCTTAACAGTCGTTACAGGGCATGATTCATATTATAAAGTTCAGTGGTCCTGAATTTATTTGTCTAAGCAGTTTGAAAAGTCCCTTGACTAAAACAAAGTGACACCTCATTAACGTTTTGCCCGTCTGTTCCTTGATGGTTACAGAGCATCTGGAGAGAAACTGCAGTTAGTTATTCTCAGACAAAATAATCAGCAAGTAGCATTTAATGTGTACGGGGAGTAAAGTTTTGTAGTATTCTGCCTTTGAGGCTTTAACGTAAGTTCCAATAAAACTTTTAATACACAGTATGCGGTTTGATGCATTAGTACTTTGATAGAGAGACCCCCCCTTCAATGTTAAGAAAAGTATACTAAAGTATACAGTTAAAGCAAAATTGCAAGCATTCAAACAGGATATTATCATGAGCTGGACTGGATTAACCTGCAAAGGCACCCGGGGCAAAAACGGACCAGGGGGCCTCCTTCATTAACCCCCACTCCTTCTTTTCTCTCTCTCGCTTCATGCATTATGTACAATATTAATCTAATGGGAGAAAACGTGGCCTCGGGGTCTCTCTGTGTTCATCTGATTAGACTATTTAAGGAACATGCGCCACATGGGCTCGTCCAGCATCCGAGGACGTATCCTCCATGTGGCATGTGTGAAGGAGACCATGCTCTGGTAAGAAGAGCTGTTTACCAGAGTGAGGTTTTTTAACACGCACATGTACACTGAACTAACTAACTAACTAACTAACTAGCTAAATAAATAAATGAATATGATAAAATCAATAAGACCTGTAAAACCTGTAAAAACACCAGTGAATATCTGGAAAATAATTCTATTTCAGTTCATTTAAATACAGTAAAATTCTGTGGTTTTACAATCACACACACAAAAAAATTGCGTGCGGATATATTTTTAAGTAGATATTATTTCCAATTTTGGCCTATTTTTGTTTTTTTAATTAATTAGTTTGTTTGTTTTATTTCACAATATAAATTAATACTTTTTGGGGGGATATTGTAAAATATTATCTGCAATAATATCTAATAATTTAATGAAATATCTAATAATATCTTTCACTTGCATGAAAATAACACTCCATCCCTCCATTATTTATACACCGCTTAATCCTCACTAGGGTTGCAGGGGGGCTGGAGCCTATCCCAGCCCTGGACAGGTTGCCAGTCTATCGCAGGCTACATTTAGAGACAGACAACCAAGCACACTCACATTCACACCAACGGACAATTTAGAATCACCAGTTAACCTCAACATGTTTTTGGACTTGTGGGAGGAAGCCGGAGAACCCGGAGAGAACCCACGCTGCATGGGGAGAACATGCAAACTCCACACAGATTCCGGTGCCCCCACCGGGACGCGAACCGGCAACCTTCTTGCTGCAAGGCTGCGCCACCTTGCAGCCCTGTGTTCAAATTATTACTGATAAATATTGTTGAAAGATGTTTATTTTTACAGTGTAATGTTGAGAACAGAAGCTTGAAAATAATTGGAAACAAATGTGAAAAATATCATAAAACATATACAGAACTGTCCAATATTGTCCGGTGTTAACGTTCTCTTCAGGTGAAAACATCTATGTAAGCACAACCTACAAATAATAAATGTTTCAAAGCTGAACTTCAGTTCAGGGCCTCAAGATCTGGTAAATAAAGCAGAAATTACCTCAACACTGTGTTTAGACAGACGCGACCACTGCATGCAAAACTGCAGCCCCCTCATTCTTTTGCTCAATGCAACAGGTTCTTGCAAAACAAACTACAGGGTTACTTCCTAGAAAGTTGACTCAGATTTTGCATCAGTGGAATGGAAAGGCATCCAGAAAACCGTCAATGCCGTTAAACGTGTGTAAGCCCACATTCCTGGTAGATTATTGCTGTGCAACATAAACTAAATATTTCTACTGTTTACTGTTGGGTTCAGGTAATGTTGCTTCCTGGATTGTGTTTCCTTGTCTCCTTAGTGCCTGAAACAACAACACAGTCTCTGAGTCTTGCTTCAAGGTTGATGTTCTTAAACAAAGTTAATAAAATGACCCAAACTAACCTACAGGTCTGGAGGTCAGGACTGCTTTACCATTCAGTTTAAAATAAAACCTGAGCCACATATCTTGCAAAACATATATATCATGTTCCACTACTGGCATTTTATTTGTCTTTTCTAACTAGTGCACTGTGTTTTAAACTTTGCTGGTGTTTTATTCACTTAAAGTGAGTTAACGCCAAATTTTCCTTGCTGGAGGGCAATTCAATGTTTTTTATTGTTTGCAGAATCTTATTTTGCACAGTTCCTTCCTAACTTTTGAAATGTCTGTCTATTTATTGACACTAAAGTGTAGATACACAAAGTTTTATTTACTGTTTTGTTTCAATTCATACACATTTTGTGAGTTATTTCATTAATTTTTCACTTCACCAAATGAAAGGCTCTTAGTTTCCCGTTTGTAATGCTTCTGCCATATAATCATACAACAAATCTTATATGATGAAATCATAGTTTTAAATACTGTCTGATTTTGCCACTGGTTGAGCTGATATTTGTTTCTCTTAGTCGAAACTGTTGCGTTTTCTTTGTGTCAAGGTAAACCATTTAGCTCTAACCTAACTTCTGCTTAAGACTTTTCAAAATTAAAGGTCTCATGAAAACTAAAGATTTTTTTAATTGTAGATATTTAGAGCAGTAACATAGCTGTTAGAATGATGTCTATATGGATGGAATATTTATATAAAATATGATGTTTACATAAAATGTGTTTAATTACTGACCGGACTAGGACATTTAATAATTTAATAAAATAACAGCAACATTTTAATCAACTCTAGATAGTATTTATCTGCAGTACCTGTAAGCAAATATTGGCGACAGTAAGCAGAGGAATTGTGATGTAAAACACATTTCAGTAATTGTAAACTGTGTCTAAGTCCTACTTGTTGACTAATAATGTACATTAATAACCCCTTTAAAATATCAGTATATCGCATTTTTGTGTGTAAAGCAGTAATTAAATGTTTCTACGTTGTTTATAAATGCTAAATACTTCAACTTAATGACACAATTTTGATCATATAGTCGGTTTATTCTTCTAAGATGCTCAGCTGATAAGTCAGACCGGTGAAAGAGAAAGTTATGAATGCAAAAAATATTCTGCAATTTATCTGAAATTACTTTCATACATTCAAACTGTTTTATCAGAGTGTTTTTGCCAACATTTGTGCATTTTTTTGTGGGCCTGTATCATCTTTTTGTGCCGCCAAATCATTCCAAACCCCATTTATTTCTGTTAAACATCTCAGCACCAAGTGAGCAGTGACTGATGACTGACAAGATGTTATTATGTGGCCAGTATGAGGGATTATTAGCTGTATGTAGGTCACCGAGTGACTGGCTGAGAGCAAATGGTATCCAGAGAATGTTTTTTTGTAGATTATAGCTTCATCTGTTCCACAATCTAATATTTGGACTCTGAGGGCCCTGCAGCCACCAGGGGGCCTCCAAGACAACTGGGGATTGGAGTCACTCCAGTAATTATTTTTTTTTTTTTTTTTTAAAGGGAAGATCAAGTTCCGTTCAGGGCTTCGAAAACTTTAGGCAGTTTCTGTTTTATGTTGCTTCATTCTTCCGCTCCACTGCACATGGAAATATTGTACTTGTTGCACCACAATTAATCTGACAGCTGTAGTTGGCAGATATATTTTAGTTAAAGATGAAAAAGACACTATAAACAAACAGCTGTTGACTTGTGATCACTTGCAAAAAAGCCATTAATGTCACTTTTAGATCTCTAGATGGTTTTATCAGTTCCATCAAAGAGCAATTTCTTTCTAAACTTCTCATGTGGATTAATATCAATGAATGTTTGAGGCTCAAAGAGGTAAAGTTATGCAACTATTTTACAGAAAGCATACAAAATTGAGAAAAAATCTACATTTTTGAGCCCTCCTTAAATAATTGAGCTTGTATAGGCAGCAATAAGTGGGTTTGTTAATTGTTAATAAACCATTTAATGATTTATACATCAGTTATATTAATAGCAGTTAATTTTTTTTTAAAAATAGGCTTTTTTGGGTTCCCAGATTGCAGAAAAATCCTCCACAAGTATCACATTTGTTTTGCATTAGGGCACTCACTACCTGATCAGGAAAACCCGTCAAACATTGTTTACCTCGTGGAGAAGAGCTGCAGGGCATCTGGACTAAAAATCCATTTATAAACATCTTGTGAATATTTAGAACTGCAGACTTGATAGTTTACCTGTAAAAACGACACAGAAATGATTTATCAGCATTTTAATTTGCTGTTAAGTGACACTTTGAGTGTATTTTCTTCTTTCTTATGTCATTAATTAACTCAGGACCTCTCAGATTTATCTCATGACCTTTTGGAGGGGCATGAGCTGTAGTTTGGGAGTCATATCTGTAAGTAGCTCCAGCTGAACCAGACAGAGCAGCGAAATGCTTCATACATGTTGATACATCAGCACTAACATAATAAACAGTTGAAAAACTCCTACGAAGACACATTTTTCTGCAGAACGAATGCTTTTCTGGCACATCTTTCTGACAGTCTCTCCATATTTTAACTCAATCTGGAGTTTGGATGAAGCTTTTATTTCTGATTGAGTGTTTTTCACTGTTGGATTGTCGGATCTGAGTCCTTCTTCCAGAAAATGCTTTGAGTTTGCCAGCCCTTTTTGACTTCCGAGCAGGTCAGGAAATAAACTCTGGTTTGGTTTCTGACTGCTGGTTCGGCTGGCAGCAGGAGGCCAACATCACTGTTTTTGCTGACTGTTGCTGCAGCCGCTGCCAAACGGCGGTAATGTGCATAAACTTCTGGTTTCGGCCGACAAAATGCTTCTTTTTTGTAGAGCAAAGAAATGTGTCGAGGTTAAGTCGGCCACGAACAGAAAGAACTTCTTCTCTCCAGAAACAAGTCTCAATGAGAAGGCTACTCGGCAACTCTCGGCCTCTTTAATTATAGAGGAGATAGTATTTTCAGTTTATCCTTTGCAGAGCAGCTTGATAATTAAGAACCAACTTTGCATTTCATGGATCATTTACCAATTTTCTGCTCTTAAATTCTTCATGGAGTGTAATGCAGCAATTTGTTCCCTTCAGATCTGTGTAATAACTCAACATAGGAATATGTTTTGCATAATTTAATTGCTTTAATGTACAAACAATCTAAGTACGTGAACTGACAAAGCTTTAATAATTTGGGAATTAAAAAAACAAACCCGGTCATTTAAGGAGAACAAGATAAGAACATATAGTAGATATTGTGTCATGAACCCCCAGCCTCAGCCCCTGCCTGTCTCCCTCTTTTTCTCCTCCTCTCCCTTTCTTCTCCCTCCTTCTCTCTCCTCCTTGCTCACCCTCTCAGTCCATCCAGCTCTGCTTGCAGCCTGCTTCATTGCAGGTGTTGTAGACAGTTGTGGGGATCAGCTCACCTTCTCGCAATCATATCACTCCCAGTAAAACCCAGCTCATTCAACAACTTGATGCCAGACCATAGATGTTGAAACCCCGTGTCCTCTGTAATCTAACAACACAGCGAAAATCTTTTAAAAATAAAATAAAATCTCATTAAAAAAATAACAAATGTGTTCAAATTCCATCCATCCATCCATTTTCTATACACCGCTTAATCCTCACTAGGGTCGCGGGGGGGCTGGAGTCTATCCCAGCCGACTTAGGGTGAAGGCAGGGGACACCCTGGACAGGTCACCAGTCTGTTGCAGGGCTATACTTAGAGATAGACAACCAAGCACACTGACATTCACACCTACGGACAATTTAGAATCACCAATTAACCTCAACATGTTTTTGGACTTGTGGGAGGAAGCCAGAGAACCCGGAAAGAACCCACGCTGCACGGGGAGAACATGCAAATTCCATGCAGAAAGATCCCGATGCCCCCACCGGGACTACCAGGGTGAAGGACGAAGACATCCATCAGAAAGTCCCTGAACTTCTTCATTTCTCAGGGGGCATTAATTATGCAAAAGCAGGGCTTCCTATGTATGAACATGAACGCAGCTTGAACACTCAGTGGAACGTCTTTGTAATAACAAATATGTTGTTTCACTTAAGCTGACAGTTCACTTCATTCACTACACCGTAACATGTGGAGAATATCACGTGTACTGCTAAATTTATGTGTCTGGAGTTACTTTGTTGTGGCTAAATTATTTATGTTTCAGAATAAAGCTGGTAATATTCTATATTTATGGTTAATATCAAAAAATACAGTTAAAATGCCAAAAATGCTGCAACTTCCCCACCCTGTCTGTGGCTCTAAAACAACTGGTAACATAAATATACTCAGTTTTATTTACTACAAAAAAAGTTCAGTGAACAACAATAATTTTTAATCAAAACTTACACAAAAAGGAGTAAATAGGGGATCAGTGGGGACTATTTTCCGCTGCGTATTAATAAACATTTGGTGCTCAAGTGGGTATTTAGGGCAGTGGAGCAGAGTTGACATGTGGCAGTGACTCAACAGTGTGCAACACTGGTGTGTTTTTAATAGATTTCAGACAACATGATGGATGAAGCTCCGTGGAACAGAAGATTAACTCATATCAGGCTCCACATACACAGATATGAGACTTTTCAGTAGGATATATTCATCGTTTGCTGCTGGATTTCTGTGTGATTTGTAAATGGTTAATTTACAGTCTGGATTAATTTCTATATGTTACAATATGATCAAATAGCACAGATAAAGCTTTGGCCTTGCAACCTTTATATATTCACAATGCAATAATGACTACATTTTGTTGTCCAACCCATTTAGTTAATTTCAATCCACTTAGTATTAGATCAAATGTCACTGTTTCTGCTTTTAAATTCTCTCTTAAGATGCATTTTCATAGACTTACCAGCTCACCTGACAATCACATTTACATATTACAGCAATTAAAGCACACAAATTTATGTCCTTTCTTGATTATGTGCATCTTTTGGATGATTTATTTTTATATTTCTTGGATTCAGTCTTTAATTGAGTGCTTGTATTTTGTTGTTCTTGTGTTTTTCTTTTATATTTGTGATTGTTTTTGCTACGAGGTAAGAAAAGTGCCACACAAATAAAATTATTATTATTATTGGAGCGCAACTGATATATCAGTCAGCCGATATTATTGTTCGATATCGGCCCGTCACAATATATTTGTATCGGCATATATGTTGTCTGATATGTGTCGATATGAAAACTTTCTTCCCCAGAACATAATGCAGAAAAAAACTTTGGGCATAATTTAGAAATTGTACAATCACGTAATTTGTTGAGTGGCTCAGACTTCATCGTTTACAATCTTCAGCACTGTCTGCAGCACATGTAGCAGAATACGTGGTGGTGCGGAGTCAAGCTTGGTGGTAAGATGCAAACTAGTTTGCGAAAAACATTCCTGAAAAGCCAATAAGCAATGAACCCATCATTTGACCTTTTCCATATAAGTTTGTACAACCTAAAAGTTTGTACTGGTATCGACTCCAGAAATTCAGTATCAGTTAAACTCTAATGATTATTATTATTATGTACGCTAAATTAAATGTGGTTAAATGGTAAAATTTGAAGTTATATTTCTAAAAAACTCTGCTCTTTTCCACATCGTTTCATATCAAACCCAACAGAAACAACACAGGAGGAAAAACTCCATCAGAAAGTTTCACTTCATTGCTGGAAGAGGAGTTGTGGTTGTACACTGTTGAAGATGTCTATTGTCCTCTATTAAGCACCACTTTTTTGTGCAAAGACTGGTTCCTGCTCTCTTCTGAACACCTCTTTGGAATTTACCATCAGAAGAGTCAGTTTAGAATTACTGGAAAGGGTTTGCAGAAGCACTAATGCTGTAAAGATGACGTCTTTTTTGTCTTTTTTTGAAATGTATTTCTGTACGTTTTACTGTTGTACTGCTATTAGTAAAATGAGCTAATGTTGTAACTGTGACATTGGGAGCTTAAAATAGTTTAAATACTCAGCTAATGTGCAGTTTGTCAACTGGATCCTGGTCTGTGTTTGAGTTTTTGCTTGTTAATGAATTTTTTAAGCAAATCCCAAGCAGTTTGTTCAAATACTCAGACTGAAGGATTGTGTTTGAAATCAGAAACGTAGAAAACATCCTTATATTTGCTAGATTCCTGATCAGCAAACAAGATTAAGAAGATTCAAACCCCCTAAAGATCAAACCAGTTGTCTCATCGCCGCTCAGCAGATTTCAGCGTCTTCAGTTATTTACACTTTTATGAATATTATCAAAAAATAGAAGCGACATAAAAAAATCTGTAGTAAGTGAAATCTCTGCTCAGCAGGATTCAGATGGAGAGTCAAAGTGTCTCTGCATTGTCCTCTTGTGGTTTTATCCCACATCATCGTAGTCTTCTCCCTGATCTTCTCCGATGTCGTCGTAGTCCTCCGTGGACGAGTTATCAGCGGCTGGATCTGGAGGTTGAGGAAGGAACGTCTCCGCCTCGTCTTCCACCTGCACGTAGTCGGGCTGCTCGTCCACAGCCTGCTCGTAGTCAGGCTCCTCAGCCAGGTTCTCGTAGCTTTGCCCCTCTGAAACCCCGTGATTTATTTCTGGATCTGGCTGATTGTAAGGTGTAGGAGGAGGCAGGATCTCCTCTTCCTCCTCCACCTTCACGTACTCTGGCTGCTGGTCCGTGCTCTGTTCATAGTCAGCTGTGCTCTGCTCATAGTCAGCTGTGCACTGTTCGTAGTCATCTGCACACTGTTCGTAGTCATCTGCACACTGTTCGTAGTCGGGCACCTCCGCCAGGTTCTCGTAGCTTTGGGCCTCTGAAACAACAAATTACATATCAGTGCTTTGGTGCACAAATTGAAAAGCAAACTGTAAAGAAACAACAATATTCCAGCAGCTGGGGCACCAAAATAATACTGTATAATAATGGACAACAACCATCATGCTAAAATATAGTAAGTTATATTTCAATATTTTTCATAATATATTTTTAGATCATATATATTTTGTCTTTTAATGTTTGGTTAAGGATCCATCCATCCATCCATTATCTATACACCGCTTAATCCTCACTAGGGTCGCGGGGGGGCTGGAGCCTATCCCAGCTGACTTAGGGCGAAGGCAGGGGACACCCTGGACAGGTCGCCAGTCTATCACAGGGCTGCACTTAGAGACAGACAACCAAGCACACTCACATTCACACCTACGGACAATTTAGAATTACCAATTAACCTCAACATGTTTTTGGACCTTGTGGGAGGAAGCCGGAGGACCCGGAGAGAACCCACGCTGCACGGGGAGAACATTTGGTTAAGGATATTTACATGTTTTAAAATGATCAAAAATTACCTATGTGGATAATAATTAAAATGATATAAGGACAATGATTATATGTATAATGATATAAACTGTCTTTAGACACATTACAGATGCTATGTACTGATTAAAAACACATTCTTTCAACATTTTTAATGTGAAAACATCTGTGATTATGCAAGATACTACTCATTTAACAAACAAATCTATGTAAAATTGCAGAACCAATGCTTCTTTCTGTTTACTGTTTCTAATTGCATCAAATTTTTGAAGTATATTTAAAGTATCAATCTACATTTGACAGTTTCATTTATTAAATACAAAAAGAGATATTTGTGAAATTCTGATACAAATGTGAATTTTAATGTCAAAAAATTTTTAAAAATCTGTAAAAAAAAAAAACAGATAAGTTAAATTCAAAGTTACAAGTTTTTATAGTGATTGCACATTGCGCAGTTTAATTGGTTATTATATAAAGTGTTCTAATATAACTGGTTGACCATGACAACTATAACTATGACAAACATTGCTGCAATGAATATCTGATAAAATAGTTTCTTGTAAGTAAGTAATTCAGTGTCAACTGGCGTGGTGATTGTACCAAGCTGTTGTGGTTTTTATTGGGTAACAAAGAAGACGGCATTAAAAGAAACCTGTTTTCTGATAACAGAAACAGTTGTCTTGAGTAAACTTCTGTTTTCACACAGTTTGTGTGATACACTTCTCTGTGTTGGTAAAAAAAATTATTAGCAAAAAAGGAAATTCTACTTATCAGAAGTAATATTAATCAGTAGTCAGATTCTGAGAAATATCTTCGTGAAATCCACTGAATAAGACGACTCCTACAGAACATTTCTGCAGATGTCAGACATCTCCGAAACTGTGTCTCCATGTGCAACAAAGCACATTTAACACTTTTATACCCGGCATTTGTTCTAATAATAATTAGAGAAACATGTTACATTTGGGGCTGCAGGGTGGCACAGTTGGTTAGCACTGTTGCCCCGGTTCGCGTCCCGGTGGGGGCACTGGGATGTTTCTGCGTGGAGTTTGCATGTTCTCCCCGTGCTACGTGGGTTCTCCGGCTTCCTCCCACAAGGTCCAAAAACATCCATCCATCCATCCATCCATTATCTATACACCGCTCAATCCTCACTAGGGTTGCGGGGGGGGGCTGGAGCCTATCCCAGCCGACTTAGGGCGAAGGCAGGGGACACCCTGGACAGGTCGCCAGTCTATTGCAGGGCTACACTTAGAGACAGACAACCAAGCACACTCGCATTCACACCTACGGACAATTTAGAATCACCAATTAACCTCAACATGTTTTTGGACGGGCTGCAGGGTGGCGCAGTTGGTAGCACTGTTGCCTCGCAGCAAGAAGGTTGCCGGTTCGCGTCCCGGTGGGGGCACCGGAATCTTTCTGCGTGGAGTTTGCATGTTCTCCCCGTGCAGCGTGGGTTCTCTCCGGGTTCCTTCCACACAGTCCAAAAACATGTTGAGGTTAATTGGTGATTCTAAATTGTCCGTAAGTGTGAATGTGAGTGTGCTTGGTTGTCTGTCTCTAAGTGCAGCCCTGTGATAGACTGGTGACCTGTCCAGGGTGTCCCCTGCCTTCGCCCTAAGTCAGCTGGGATAGACTCCAGTCCCCCGTGACCCTAGTGAGGATTAAGTGGTGTATAGATAATGGATGGATGTTAAATATGTAGCGTTTATCATAATATTCGCTTTGTCAGAGTTTAAATACATAGTAGAAAAACAAAAGACCACTGTCAGTCTGGAAATGAACAAAATAGTATTTTGGATATCGTTTTATGTTGATTAATCAATTTAATGCTGTACTGTTATGAAATAGAATAGAACAATGTTAGCTGTGTGGACAAATTAGGCAGTAAAGTTTTTCAAATCATATTTAAATTGCAAATAAGATGAAATATTCCTGCTTTTAAAAGAGAAATTGATTCAACAAGATGCTTGGTTTAAATTGTATATATGAATACAAGTTTTTTTTTTTTTTTTTAAATATCCAGAATTTAGGCTTGTTCCACCAGAAATGTCACGAAGAAAGCGTGTTAATTAAGTCTGATCACACTATTTTGTTAGCTTTATTTTGTTGCACCAACTTGTTATTAACTTCTTATTATAAGGTTAAGGGGCTTAAATATATATACAAAAGAAGGTTAATTGCAACATTTTAAAGTAGCTAAGTTCAAAATGAGCTTTTTCATTCTTACAGGCGAGATGTTTACTGTGAAATTAGGAATTTACTGGAATCTATTAATATTTTCTTAACTTGACATAAATATATATGTGAGGGTCATAGACTGTGTTCACTGTGTTTTGTCTCTGTGCTTTGGTGGGTGTGCCTCTGTTCTCTGCAGGCTGAGCGGAGCCGATCAGGAGAGGCACTCAGCTCATCGGCTCATCAGCCGTGCCCTGCTTAAATACTGGCGTCTCACAGAAGACCGACGCCAGAGGATTGTGATACCTACCCTGTGGTACAGTCAGGCCGCTAGCTGCTACACTTCGCTGAGCATTCCTAGCATTTTTTGATGTTCTCTAGTCTCGAGCTTATTGTATGTGTTTCTCTTCTTGTCTCCAGTGTTCCTCCTCGGCTCCAGCACTCAGCACTCCTCCAGGCACACCAGCGTTTGCACCCACGGGAATTCACGACCACGGGCACCTTCACCGGGAGAATCTTCACGAGAGCAACCACCCACGAGCACCGAACCCCGAGCACCGGACCCCTGCGCACCACCCTCGGCACCCCCCACGACCGGCACCCCTTCACCGGACTGTGTTTCTGCCTGCTGGTGCCCATCACTCCACCAACTTCCCTAAATAAATCCTGTTTCCTTTAACCCTTCTCCCCGTCTCCCTTTTCGTTTGGGTCCGCCCGCACAGTCACTGAGCACGAACCGTCACAATATATATACAATAAGATATTTTTAGTTAATTCAACTTATTTTTTCTCTTTTATTTGTCTCGGTTTTGTTTGCAGATGACTTCACAATTTACAAACGAGTGCTTTTGATATTAAGTCTTTTGACTTAATACAATAAATTAAATAAATGAACATATGTGAGTTCACTCAACTTATTAAATTAGGTCTTTGAAATAGCACCCGAGAGTTTCCAGTTTGTGCTGGAAACTCTGGGGTGACAGTCTTTTATTTTTAGCTTCAAACAACTATTCGTGATGGAAACAAGTGTCTTGTTGCTGCTTCTGTAATCAACAGTGAATTCATTATTTACTTCTCCACATGTATATAGTAATTTAGGAAAATTACATGTTGACTTTGTGATGACAAAAAGGCTCCACACTTGAAAGATGAAGAGTTTTTACATAAACTCATAACTATTATTTGTTTTCAGCAGGCTGCTACTCATTTCAAAGCTCCCGTGTATCCCTCCATGGATACAGTTACCATTACAAAGCCAAAAGAATCATTTACTTTGGTCTGATTTCTAAAATTACCACCACTTCTCTTGTTTTTCTTGTTTTGTCCAGCTCACTGACAGATCAGATCAAATCTATGTCTTTCTCAGTTGTGTTTAATAAATGTTGGTTCAGAAACCTCAGTCTGGATGACAGTGCGTGCTTCTGGTGTGGATCCGAGTTTTGAGGTTTTGCAAAACAAAAGTCACAGAGGGTGATTTTTCTCTGCCATTTTTATAGTGTAATTTTACTGTCATCAGTGTTTGTTTGATGACCACAAACATGGTCAAAAGACAGAACGAATGAGGGTTTTGTTTCAGTTTTTTTTTTGTTTGTGATAATTTGGTAAAAGCGCATAAAGGGAGTGTGGTTTGGAAGAGATGGGGGGATTTAGCGCAATTAAATCTATATCCATTATAGGAGATCCAATAGAGCCTTGCCTGCTGTGAGAAATTGTGTCCGAGGAGGTAGTGGGGGAATGATGGCTTCGGGGTCTCTCTCCTGGTACTTGTTGCTCCTGAAAAGTTACATAAAACATTCAGTGGTTAGGTTCAATGAGGGAAATCTGACTTTAGGGAACAGTTCTAAGAAAATATGCTTCTTTTCCGCTTTCTTTGCTGAAAGCTTAATAAGAAGATTGATCCCAAACTAATATCTGTTTGCTTAATGTGAAGATAGTATCAGCAGTTTATAGCCTGTATATGCACACTTATCTTTATGCTACTTCAGGTACAATATACAAAAACATATATTCCAATCGTGCACACAGTAACTTTAAAAAATGAATAATGCATAATGAATTGTAGTCCTCACACACATGCCGGCTGGCAGTTTCCACCTGTTTTCAGTCTTTGTGCTAAGCTAAGCTAACATACAGCTTTTCTTTTTTTTTTTTTAAAGTAAACTACAATCCAACTTGTGTATAAAAATATTTGTATATATTTACTCGACTTTGAAGGCAGATGTTTTCATACGCTGCAAGAATTGGTGTTCACCTGTGAAAAAATAGAACAAAACAACAGAGAAAAAAACAGTTGATATAAGCTGCAGAAATAATAAAACTCTTATAAAATATAAAAAAAAAAAAAAATCTTGATATTAAATCTCGGAGCTTATTTTAGTGAGTTCATTAAGAAGAAGCAGAACCAACTGATGTTACAAATGAGGACAGCAATGAATGCAATAAAATAGGATTATTATTTAAGACCACGGCCCTGCGATGGACTGGCGACCTGTCCAGGGTGTCCCCTGCCTTCGCCCTAAGTTGGCTGGGATAGGCTCCAGCCCCCCCCCGCGACCCTAGTGAGGATTAAGCGGTGTATAGATAATGGATGGATGGATTTAAGACCACATAATCAGGTTCTGCACTGACTTAATTGAAATCAAAATAATGAGAAAGTCACACAGAAAACATACAGAAAGCTTCGACAAAGTACGCTTTAACGTTAGAATGTATAAACACACGTATTTATGTCTTCTTCTTTTATCTCCACATGTGGTGTCCCTTCTGATTACTATTTGTGCAATGTTTTCTTGCCCTTATTCGCCCTTTTTTAAAAAAATCCATATTCTAAACCAGCACGAAGCCCCGCACATGCTGCTGCAGCCCAGTTTCCCCACAGGGATCATTAAAGTTTCATCTAAGCTAATCAGATCCAGAGCGTATCACTAATAATAGCAATTCATACAATTATAATAGTTTTTCTTCTGCTTTGCACCAAGCCACTCAGAGGAATACTTTTAAGATGACAGTGTGTTAATGCTCAGTTTCTCTTCCCGTTCTGGGTTCTACATTTATGGTAAGGACATACGTGTTTTTGTTTTCAGTTAACAAAATAAAACAGGTAGTTGTGGATACTGAAAGTGAAACTATTGTCCACAAGTCGCTTGATTTCACTTTGAAATTAACTGTTAATGAAACTGCTTCTGGCTGAATATAAATATTAATAATAATACTAATACTAATACTAATACTAATACTAATACTAATACTACTACTACTACTACTACTACTACGAATAATAATAATAACAATAATAATAATAATAATATTTTTGGGCTGATTTCAACACATTGTAAAAGAACAAACTACTCTATGCAAAAATGCAGAGTTTTGATGTGAACAATATTTAGCCTTTTGGCCTGTGTGAAGGTTTTTGTTGTTCTTTTTCTTGTTCTTATTAATTTTTTATTACATTTAAACTTGTTCGGCACATTTGTAATGTTAATCCTATATCTCTACTGGAAAGCACTTTGGCTCAATGCACATAGTTTCAAATAGGCCGTATAAATAACTGTGAGTTGATTTGATGGACTTGAAATAATAATAGCAATATACAGCTGTTTCTAACTATTAATAATGCTGATAAATAAAAAAAATAGCAAGAAAAAGTCTGTACACTGCTGTGCCTCCACAGTGTAATAATAGTACAAATAAATCATTCATTTAATCAATAGCATCTTCATCTGGTACTTTTTGGGCATTAATTGTATTTCTCAAATCTCATATTGTAAATACAGATCAGTGAAGATAAAGACAATTTTATACAGAATTATCTGCATTGTTCTAGTGCATGGCAGTGTTTAGACTTCTTGCTACTAAAATGTTTATGTTTTGGTACAACACATGCAAAAAAAGCTTTCGAGGGTGTTCTTTCGTCCAGCGTACAACAAGCTGAGAAACAGTAGTATAATTAATAACAGTTCTAATATTTGAATATGAAGCAGAAGCATTTGTGTAAAAGTGTACAAGCTGTTCTCAAGCTTTTTAAAACAATTTTATTTTGTTAAGTCCCATCTCAAAAAGGGGTTTGACCACAGCAGGGTTGGTACTGTTTTCTCTGGAACTAACTTCTCTGGTAAAGTCTGTGGATTTCCCAGAATGATGGAGTCACGTCATGCGACCTCAAGTTTTTTGTTCTGCAGAGCACAAAATCACCAAACCTGCTTTTCAGTCTGTAGCATATGTGGACAAAGTGAAAGTCCCTTCAGTAACCGTTTAAGAGGAAAATTAAAGAAGACATCTCATCAGTGGCATTAGCGGAGGAATTCCCCTTCCAGAACAACAAAGCGCAGTGATGACCAGCAGTATGTAGAGAACACACAGGAACAACAGCGTAGTTTTTCTGCTTTGTGGAGGTCAGATTGAATTCATTTTACCACAGTCAAGTGGTTTGATGGCACAACTTTAGTGGTGAATATTTCAAAAGGTCAGACCCCAAACTCCTATAAACCCACAGTCATTACATTACATTTCAGCTTCCAGGCCTCAGTAACATTTGAGTTTTGTAATTTTGTCGAAGTTGATGATGCATTACGGCAGGATCTCCATATGACTGATGAGATTTGCTCCTTTCGTTAGCTCTGTAGTTTAACATAAAATGGTTTGTCTATTTTCTCTCTTTTTTTGCTTGCTTTTGGAGCAAATGTGCACTTAGAAAATGCCTTTGTAGAAGAAGTGCTAGTACATTTTTTTTACAGTTTTTATAAAACGTTTAACATATACTTTTTTTCTGTGATACTGCAACTACTACTTTTTACTATTATTGTTATCAGTATTAACATTCATACTTCATTATTATTATTAATAATAATAATAATATTAATAATGAGTAGAATCAGCAAATTTTTTAAAGTCTATTTAAAATTATTATTATTATTATTATTATTAATAATAATAATAATAATAATCTAATAATAATAATAACAACAACAAGGGAAAGTCTGAAGAATAACAGTAAATTGTTTTTTGTTTGTTTTTTTAAAAAAAAAAACAGTTAAAAAACATTTTAAAAATCACTTAAAAAAAATAAATAAATAAATAGCGTGTAGTAGAGACTAAGTACAAAGCAACATAAACGTATGGTATTTGCATACTTTTATACTTACTTTACACCACTGGAAAAACTACTCTAAAAAGTACAGTATTCTATATATTTAACTATAGTTCGATTTATTTTCATTGCTGTTTTTTGCGCCATGCTTGCGTGTCTATCACTTCATTGTAACAGAACTGACTCTAATGGTGCTGATAGCAGTTTTAAACACATTTTATAGCATTTTTTGAGAGACAAAACCACAGAAAATAACCTGTACGTTGAAAACACTGAGGACATGATTCCAAATTTTCAAATTCTATACTTTTTTGCATTACACTTAACATTTTCTGCACTTTTTATTATGTTATATGTGGAGACTAGATGAGATGAACACTACCTGGACTGTCATTGACTGTGATGTGTTGTTTAGTTACAACAGAGCCACAAAATCTCTTCAACTCTGTTTATAGTCAACATTCAATTCAAAATGTTTGGTCACTCGTCTTATCACAAGTTCTAGTTGTGGTGTTTTTTGTCTTAATATGAGGAAGAGAAGACATTGTGTGACATGCAAATAACACAAAAATAACTTTTGACAGATGTGTTGAGCAGCGATTCCACCTACCTCTCTTGGAGATGCACTTATTGATGAGAAAGAAGATGAAGCAGATCACTAAGGAGACTAAAATCGCCCCAATCAGCAACAACAAGGCGTACTGGCGAAAGAAATTCATGGCCACTCGGTTCCAAACCACAGAAGCTTTTACAGAAAACAGCAAAAACACACATTAATGTCACCCTTTAAAGTAAGGACACATCTGAGCCGCTGCTTTTTAGTATACGCAGCTGTGGACCGGAAAGAATACCATCGACCACTTCCTCTTTTTGTGCGTTGACTAAGTCTTAAGGTTATTTTGGCATCTACTTTAGCATTCTGAGAATCAAACCAGCCTTCCTCTAGGGACCCTCCTTGTGAGGAAGTCTGTCATTTGTCACATCTACAGATAATTTTTGCTGCCATGTAGTTAGTCTGTAAATGTATCTGAACCTGATGTGAACCTGAAAAGGGGACGGCAGCTTTCAAACAACTAGTTTGCTCCAGATGGAAAGACATATCCCTTTATCTCTATGAGCAGAATCCTACAAATGTTCTTTTTTCAGTTTATCTTTATGTTACACATCCTCAGCGTGGAACAGCTTCCTGTCAACTTCCAAACACAAACAGTGCTGATTCAGAATGGAGTCTTGCAGGATACTTTGATATGCTTTTGCAAAGGACGCTCATAAAAATGTCCGTAACAAGTGACTCCTTTAGTTGCTTTTTGCCTTAATTAATTTTTTTAAATCAATTTATCTTGAAAAAATAAAATAATGTTTATTCTAAATAAAATATTTTCACCAAATCTCAAGTGTCATTTCCCCATAAATTAACTTCCAAACATGTGTCTTACCTTCTCAGAGGATAACTGATGGCTCCGAGGCTGGGTCAAAGTGAGGTGGCAACTAATGTCTGTAAATGTAAGATGAAAGTGGACGGTGAGATATGACAAGCATCATCATGTACTGCATTTTTGCATGGCTGCTTCTAATTTTCTTAGTACACAAACCTGAAGGCTGCTATATCTCCACCCTTTGTCATGCTTCACCGACCACACCATGTGGGTGTTTCTGGGGTATAAGACAAGATTCTATATTTCTGTGTGAAGATGTGCTTCGAGAAATTTATTGTTCTCGTGTGATCCGTAATCTCAGAGTTGTGAAGGTTAATATTTTATGCATATATTTTCTACTAAGTAGAGCAAATGACACTGGTACAGAAAACTGCATTCATTTCCGATTCTCTTACTTTATATTTTCAGTTCCTCTTATAGCAGCATGACACCACATCAGTTCATCACTGTATAGTCTGTAGGGGTTAGATGAAAATCTGTTTTCTTTTGCAGCTACAGCTTTGCGCTAATATTTGTTTTATATGTCATGTTACAAAATAGTTTAACTTTAAAAGAAGTCATTGTTAACCGCTTCTGAGTAGAAAAATGAGAGAGAATTCTGAGGTTTGATGTCAACGAATATCAACAGACTGTCTTTCAGTTCAGTTCAGCTCAAAATACTGCAAAGATGGTTCATTTCAAGATGACTTTATAACTCCTAGGTTTAGTCCAGTTCTAAACAGGCTCTTTCAGTGCCTGTAGCTTTAAATGTAGCTGAGCTGCTGCTGTCCCATCCTCCTTCAGGAAGAAGATTCTCCCCTCCTTAGGGATAGACGGCGGACAGCAAAACAGTTGACTGTATGGCAACATGACATGAATGCCTTCTATTGCTTCCAACTTTCTTTCCGAGTGATTATTTTAGAGAGCAGGAGAGAAGAGAACACTTGTAAACACCAGCTGAAACACAACAGGCGACATGAAAACACAGTAACCTACCAAGTCTTTGTTAACTGGTTTCAAGTCAGTCCCCTAGCTTTACACTTTCCATACACATACCATGGACATAGCATCACAGCTGAAGGGAACATTGGCCAGATTTTGCAGTTGTTGTGGGGACATTGCCATCAGTAATACATTGAATCCACAAAGTTAGTTTAGTTAATCAGATGCTGGGAGTGCATCAAGACTCTGGTGTTCACTCTTGCAGCCACAGCAAAACATTTGGTAAGCGTTGCTAGCGGCTGATAAAGTTAGCAAAAGCAGCTGAACAAAGTCAACAAACCTGGTGGACTGTGGGGCAGCTGCTCTCTCGGAATGACTCACCTGGAAGCAGCAGGCAGTAAAGAGACAGAATTACACAAAGTTTAAGCTGGACGACTGTTGGTCTATGGTGGTATATAGCATTTAGGTTAAATTCTTACTGGCTTGTAAAACTGGAAGTCTATCTGGTTGTGTGAGATCTTGACGAATGGTAGAAGTAAACGTCTTCATGGCTTAACAGCTTTAACTTTACACCTGCAAGTTTATGACAACCACAAAACGCAATTAAAATGCAATTTGCTTTTACTTTGAAAGATGACATGGGAATCAATCAAGCTAGCGAAATTTTGTATCACAGGAAATTGGCTTTATGCCTTCAAAATACTACCGCAAAAATATTATGTAGTGGTTGAAAAAGGCGTAGAGCAAAAAAAAATTCGGAAAATATAATTACATTCAATTGTATGTTTTACATGTATTTTTTTCGTAGGTATATTGTTCAATTGGTACACATTTCCATTCGAAACACAGCCACGGAGCGTTGATTATTTGCGTGTTACTTTGAAAGACCAACCAGAAAGCTCGGTGTTTGCTCTCGTTACATTGACGGTAGTTGTGATGTTAGCCTGGTTTTTGGGACGCTCCTAGCTGTTATCCCACTGCTCTGCTAGCTGCCTCAAGCCCCCTCAGGAAACCATGGCCGAGGAGGCCGAGGGATCCCCTCTGTCGTCCCAACATGACGGTAAATTTGCTGACTTTGTGCCGTTCTGCGGCGGCGGTGTTGCGGGCTGGGAGCAGCGAAGGCAGCGGCCTCTGCATCCTTGACAACATTAGCTCGTTAGCATCATCAGGGCGACGTGTCACTGGCTGTCACTGCCTCATATTGAACATTTAACGCTGCGCAGCGGCTGAAATTAACAACTTGAGCTAATCTACTTGAAGCTACTGAAGCTGTTTGTCACTAAACAGGAGCTACGTGAGGCTGCAGACTAACCTAGCCATGCTAACGTTGTTTTCTCTGTAGCACTGGCACTACCAACTAGCTGGTTAGCTTGTAGCTTGAGCTAGTCTGACTAATTTGATCTAAAGGTCGGCTCTGGCCTCTGGCAGTCTGGCCCAGCACTGACAGTCTCCTACTCGGGTCATATGGGTCTTATCAGTCCGGTACTGTGTACTGCCTGCTCACACGGGGGTTGGACCACAGTACAGGACGCTGGTGTATCCTGCAGGAGGCTTTTCCTCTGGTTCTCAAACATGGGTCCGGGGACCATTCTGGGTTCCTTCAGAGAATGCATGCTGATTAGATTAGATTAGATTTAATCTTGTGGGATTTTTGTTGTTGTTATTGTTGTTTTATGTAGGACAGTTACACCCTCCATGCAACAATTACGGATTAGTCATTAGCTACAATTAAGTAAATACAATTAGGTACCTTCCACCTCTTGGAGAAAACACTTTAACAAGTGCTGTATTTTATATATGCAAGTGTAATTACTATGCACCTTATTTGTCACTTTACATTTCATTGCACGTCTTGTGATGTGCATGTGTTTAATTTAAATCCTTGAACTGTTTAATCCACTGCAAAAAATAGCTTCAGTTCTGTAACTGAACTCAGTCTAGCGATGTTGATTATTGTCTAAAACACATTTTGCAGCATTTTCTAACCAGATAAAATTACATAAGATTAGGTTTACATGGCTCATATCAGTCAGGTACTGTGTGCTGCCTGCTCACTCAGGGTTGTACTGGATGCGGATGTATTTCTTTTGGTTCTCAAACAAAGGTCTAGGATTTATCCTGGAGTTCTGCAGAAAATGCACGCTGTAGCTTAAATGGAGTGCAGGTGAAATAGATGAGAAAACATGGAACCTAATTAAGGAGAACAATTTTAGTTCATATTTCAGTCACACACTTCAAGAATCACAAAATCAAGAATTCTCGTTGCTGTTTAGGCTCCGACCCAATCACAATAGGACTACTACAATAGGAAGTATTTATTCAAGCAATGTAGATTGTAAACTGTTTTCAAGAGAAGCTGTTCTTATTCATTTTCATTTTTAAAAGTAATTTGGCCAAATAGAAAACTAGAAAATGTGATCAGACTGCAGACTGCTGCCAAAGAGGTGTATTAATTTTAGTCATATGTTGCAGCTTTACCTTTCACTGTGAACGCTGTGTGTGCATGTGTTTAATAAAAAAAAACACCGAGTTGTTGAATCGAGTGCTGAAAATACCTTCTGTTGTGGCGAACCTCAAATGTCACACGTCATATCTGTCTAATGTTGGAGAGGACTGTGTGAAACATGTTTTACAGCACGTTTTGACCAGATATAATGAAGAAAGGTAACCTAGATGTTGAAAATACTGCCGTCATGATTCCAAATTTCGTATCAGTCAAGTACTAAGCTGTGTATTGTCAGTTACAGATAAAACTGAGTTAATTTAAGTAGTTACTTTCCACAAGGGGCTACCGAAGTATTATTGAAATCACAATATGGCCGAATGCAATATCCAGGAGAAGCAATTTTTTGATAAACGTGAAATATGTCACAAGGTGCCTTTATTTATGTAGTATTATGGTACCACAGAAGTGCTGCAGCCCACAAATCATATTCCCCAGATGGAAGGAAACATCTGTTTGGTAAAGGCCACTGTAATAATCACATCACTGTTTTAGTCTATTTATTTCTCAGTGGAAACGAAATGCAAAAATAATCATTCTCACTAAAATCATGACTCCTATCACACTATCTGACAAAATACTTATATATTCTTTTGCACATCATTCAGCCCTACTTTCCACCACTTGAGATACTACTTTAGAAAGTGCAGTATTATATATATTTAGGTATTATCATTTCGCACCTTATTGGGATGCTTGTTGGTTCACATTTCATTGCTCGTCCTGTGGTGTGCACGTGTTTAGTTAACACCCTGTAATTGGGGAATCCACTGCAGAAAATACCTTCTGTTTTTCCCTAATTCAATTGACTCCCATTGTATCTGATGGTGCTTTATTTCTATTTTTCATTTCGCAGCTTAACAGTGAATGCATAAGCAACTGCTAGCTTTCTTTATATGTAACTTTGGCCTCATTTCCAGTGTGCAGTGAAACATGAGAGAACCACAGAATACAATGATTCACTGGCAACTGTTACAAACATTACACAGCACCGTAATCTCTCCAGTTCAGACCTGCACAGGCCGTTATTCTGTATTTGTTGATGTCTGACCACCATTTGAGTGAGCTCTTTCTAATACAGTGTCAGGTTATTTCAGTAAACAGTGGAATTATCACATAGACATAAGCAAACAAAAGGCACCTGAAAGCCGACATGTTTTCTGATTGCTTTCCCTTGACAGCTCACTTTGGTAATTTATAAAAATAAATGTACAACACAAATAATATTCAGAAGTGGAGCACATTGTAATTGTTTTAGCTGTGTGATGCAGCTGGAGATCTTGGTAAATCATCTGTGTTAATTGGTCAAGTTAAACTCTAAAATATAGCTGAAAAATAGACCATGATGATGAATTGTATGTTTTCTTTCCTTGTCTGCATTTGTCTACAATTGATGCTGGTGCTTTTCTATGTAAACAGTATAAACCTGCTCAAAAAATAAGAATTCATTATTTAGTGTTGCCCTAAGTGTCTGTCCCTAAGACTTTTAATTGCATACATTTATTTAAAAATGACATATAATATCAGAAATACTCAGAGATTAACTCAGGTGTTGGTCCACTGTAAGTCATACTTTTTAAATCTAGACTTTGCCCACTATTGATAAGCTTTACCTGACAGATTTGAGACACTGATGCATTTTTGTGGCTGCAAAAGTGAGATTAAGGCTCGTCCTTACACATAGCCAGTGGCGGTTATCTGTAGGTTAATGACCATCTTTGATTACACGGTGATTAATCTGATCTTTGTGCTTTTCTCACGTGAACGATTGAGCTTTTCACAGCAGAGCAGGCTGTGAACAAAACCTAGTTCAGGTAGCCGTTAACTTCAAAACCACAGAAGTCATGGCATGCCCGTGTTTGAGTTAAAATAAGTTGTGAATGTACAAAAGAGCTCAACGTACATTGTGCTAAAATGCAACAAGAGACCACGTGAAAATGTGTTGATGGAATTTCTGCAGTTTGTTCAGCTCTCACATGACCGTGGAGGAGTTGCACATGTTTCCATTTGTCTGTCTGCCTTTGGGAATATCACCGTCTCTCTGCTCAGTACGCTGGTTTTACATAAGACATGAAATAAATGAGATTGGAGTTGCTGTCGGTGTAGGAAAAACCTGTGACTGACAGTATTTTCAGGCCATTTAGAAGAACTTTTGGGTACAAGTTTAGGCTTTATTCGTGACTCTGTGACCTGGTTTAAGCTTAAAAGCTCCTGAAAGTCAAGATTGTATTTTTTTTTAAAACAGACAATGTGCATGTAAACTTAATTTTTTCTCACTTTAGCATCCATCCATCCATCCATCTATCCATTGTCTATACACCGCTTCATCCTCACTAGGGTCGCGGGGGGGCTGGAGCCTATCCCAGCCGACTTAGGGCGAAGGCAGGGGACACCCTGGACAGGTCACCAGTCTATCGCAGGGCCACACTTAGAGACAGACTCGCTTTAACATGCAAAATATATATTACATTTACTTGTTGATGCATAAAAAATGTTGCTGTCCACTTACTTTGCTCCTGTTTCTGCATGTGAAACTATGTCAATAAATATCTTTTAGGTTTATCAGGGAGTCAAGATAAATATAAATTAATAAAATGAAGAACTGAATAAAAACTTAAAAGTCTAAAGTTTGTCTAGCTCCAAGCAGATCTAACGAAACTGGATGTTTTTGGGTTAGCATTTGGTGTTTTTAGCAGATACTTTATTCAGTGTGGAGTGTTTAACTGTTTTAATTTAACGTGGGCAATTCATTCCAATTTAGTGCTTCTCAACCTTGAAATAGATAGATAGATAGATAGATAGATAGATAGATAGATAGATAGATAGAACTTTATTGGTCCCTTTGGTATGAACCTCAGGGAAATTGTTGAAATCAGGACTCTTGCAAATGGTTGCAAGGCAGGTTTTTTTTTACTGTCTACGATGATAATTGGAAAACAAAGGCAGAAATATCTATACAACACATGCTCTTTGCATCTTTCTTTCGACTACTAAACACTTCAACGTCTTCATGCCTGTACAAGTTATTTAAATCAATCCTTAAAGAGTAAAATAGCTCTTTGGCCACATATTTATTTTAGATAATTCAACAAAAATAGCTCTAAAGTACTCTTTAAGTATGCATTTACATTTGAGCTGTACTACGTCATCTCAATAAATAAAACCAAAGCAACATTTAATCTCACAACATTGATATCAATATTGAACAGCATCAATATTAACAGGAAATGAATTTGTAAATATTGGGTTCTCAAGTTTTTCTCGGATTTGTAATAGTAAATTGATAATTTGTCTTTCTTTTGCTCTTCAGAAATTCTAATGTCATAGTTATGTCACTATTTTCTGACTTTTATGGACCAAAAAAATAGTCACTTCATTAAATAATCAGAAGAATTACCAGTAATAAAAATAATCATTAGTTGCAGCCTGAGTTATCTTAATTAGCTGCAGAAATTCAGACTGAACTTAACAGTTATTTACATGATTTATTAATGCAGCTATCTTTTTCTTGACTAGTCGATACATGATGGTCTAGTAAATAGAACATTTTGCATCATAGTTCTCAAGAACCCAATTTAACATCTTAAGATTTGTCTGAAGAAAGTCTGTATCCAAATATATTGAGTTTTCTGGCTGGATTATTAATTGCTGATGATTCTCTTCTTGCTGCAGAATTGTCTAGTAATGATCACTTATTGTTCTTTAACCTTTGTTTTAATGTTGCTAATGAGACCTCATTACTGACATTGTCAATATAATGAGCGGAAATTCTTTTTGTGGGTGCTTGCTTTTCATTTAAAGAATCATTTTTTAATTAAATGCACTCAACAGTTGATTCATTGTATATTGTGTTGTTGTTTTTCCCCCTCCTGTTCATCGTGCAGAGGTGCTCCAGCAGCGAGTGGCAGCTCTGGAGCAGGAGAGGGCCGAGTTCATCAAACTCAAGCAGCAGCTGGAGGCCGAGTTCAACCAGAAACGAGCCAAGTTTAAAGAGCTCTACCTGTCCAAGGAAGGTACGGACCTCATAATACTTAAACTGCACATAATGCAGCTGCTCTTGCTGTTTAAATCATTGAGAGGAGAGCACAGGGGGCCAGTGATTCTGTTTAACTATGGACAAACAGTGGACTGGGCTGAATATGGTTTTGTTGAGGATGGATGTAGTTTGCAAGATGATTAACAGCACAGAAACACAGAAAGAAACTATTTATGCAACAGAAATTAAACATTTTGTCAATCTTTGCTTTGCTTTCTTTTGAATAATTTTGCATTATTGTGCATCTAAAAGTTAATCAAATAAATCCTGAAAGGGAAAAGTTGCTCTTTAGCTAAATGTTCAGCCTGCTCTGAGTGGCCACAAATGAATTTTATTTTAATGGATCAGCAGGGGAAATTGTTTAGAAACTGTGGAATACTGTTAGATTTTGACAGATTCTCTGCCTGTCCAAACAAGTTTAGGATCTCATAATTGTACATAATGCAACTTCTTTTGCTGTTTAAATCATGATGGGAGAACAGAGGAGCAGAACTTCAATTAAGCTTCAGATATTAAGCTAGTGCCTGTACATTACTCCTATTAACCCCAAGACCCAATGACAAGTTTGAAAGGCATGTTATCTTTTAAAAAAGTCACCAATATAACACAATTTACCAGCCAGAATCTGTAAAAACAGAAAGAACGATGCTCATCTTTCCAAAGGTGTTTGAACGAACAAAGTGATGTTTGGTTCTGTCGGGAAAATTAACTAAACCTAAGCTTAAAATTGTAATATTGTACATGTCTCATTTTTAAAATTGCCAAAAATAAACTCTTTGTGCTAACCAGATTCTGTAAAAAAACAAAAACAATTCTTGGCTCAACAATTTCCCTGAGGTTTCTACCAAAGGGATCAATAAAGTTCTATTCTATTCTATTCTATTCTATTCTATTCTATTCTATTCTACTCTATTCTATTACACTGTGACCAACACTCACATGTCAAAGATTCATAAACTATTTGGCTGAACAGCAGGCAGTGTTTTCACAGAGTAGAGAGGAGAAAAGTATGGAAACAAATTTGAGTGACTAAGGAAACATGAAACATACTTGTACAATAACAATAATGCAGCATGATTCAAAGAGAGTATACAGAAGAACAAGTTGCAGGCAAATTGTTGGAAGTTGCATTCAACATGGGGAAATATCTTTCTAGAGTTTATGTTATGTTAGTGCGAAAACAGCGAGTTAGTAGAGGTTCTAGAAATGTAAGTAGTAAAATGTAGAGCATGTAGAGACACCATTTTTTTCTCAGTGTTGGTAACATCTGTGGAAACATGATAAAATGTTGTACATGTTGACTCCAGGTCTTCATATATTTTGCAAATCCTGATTTATGGCATTAAAACTGTGTCCAGATGACATTTCTTAGTTCTCTCTACTTCTCGTCATGGTTGTGCTATTTCCATAAAGCTACAGGACTTTATATTGCAGTGAAAAATTTCCCCACAGTGAGTAAAAATGTGACAGGAGCAAAAAACACCCCACAACTGCTTGGAGTTCAGAGGGTTAACCGGCGCTGAATCAAGTTCAAGTGATAATTGAAGTCTGAAACTTCGCCAGCGACAAGTAAACCTCTGTGGCTCTGTCTTTATCTCTGTCTCACCAGGCTCTGCTGTTGGCTCCACTGTAAGCCTTTCCCCTCTTCTCCTGTTCAACTCTCCCTTTATTCCTGCACGTTTGCCTCCATTTCCATCATTCATGTCATGTTTGATCCATCTTGTCTCTCTCCAGAGGAGCTCAAGAGGCAGACGGCGGCGCTGGATGGTGCCCAGACCGAGCTGAGCTCCATCCAGACCCAGCTGGCTCAGGCCCGGGCCGAGATAGAGACCATCAAAGCAGTGGCCACCGTGTCGGAAAACACCAAACAGGAAGCCATTGACCAGGTCCGCAGCCAGTGGCAGGAGGAAGTGGCATCACTGCAGGCCATCATGAAAGGTCAGTTGCTGTTACAGGCACACTGCAGTGAAAACCTCTGTTGCTTATAATTTGGAATATATATAGAAAGAGCGATATTAAGTTGCACCAAATTTTCCCTGGTTTCTGCAAAATTAAACCACTTTGAACACACAGTACATTCTCCAACCTCATTTAATGCTCTGAGCTGGTTTCTGACTGTTAATGAAGTTGTCAAGGTGAGGCTAATTTGATTGTCTGTGCAGCAGTGGAAAGTGTGAGAGAGAGCTGATTGTTTTTGGCAGTGTCTGCAGGTGTGAAAAGTGTATTAGGTTTTTAAACATGCTGCTTAATGTCAGTGGACACAATGAACTGATGTGAATTTGGGTGAGTGAAGAGCGCAGAGAAAAACATCTGGTAACTGATCATGTTTATTTTATTTGAGACGGTATGAAAAGAGCTGATGTAGTGACATGCACAGACATGTTACTGCAGTCACTTTGACTTGTAATAGTAGGAAAAGCACAGGTGATGCTTATAAGAATAATGACAGCTCCATCAGAGTTTTTCCAGGAGCACAACATAAAGTCTGTGTTACCTTACTGACAGCAATCTATGCATTTTACTGTTATTTCTGACCATTTGATAAATCAAGATGTTCATTATGCTTGAGTAAAAGATATGCCAATTAACAAATCATGACTTGAAAGCCTTGTGTGACGCAATAAGGATTCTTCCTCTAAATAATAAATAAATGAGATGCTATTTTTCTATCATGAATTCTACTGTTTCTATTGTTGAGTTTTTGCACTTTCTTCTGCAGTAGTTTAATGACTGGAGAATTGCTGTCTATCTAACATTGACATAGGAGCAGTGAATAGAAACACATATTAATTATCCCCAGGAGCTTCAGTAAAAAGCAGTTGGACTCATTCAAGAACTTGTGAAGCAGCTAAAAGAGAAGTCCAGTTGCTTTTTACTGGAGCTTTCCCAGATTTCCATGATTCGGATGACTGAGAATCTACACAGACACATTAATTTGGATTTTCTTTTGTAGATTTTCTGCAAATTTGGTTAAATTTACTTAACATTTGGATGCAAACTAATGTGACTGACCAAAGCTTTGCAGAACCAGTGAAAATTAAGCCATCATTCATTTTTTATAGCTGTGCCTTTTCTGCTGTTACATGCAAACAACCTTTTAACAGAGTGTGAGGACAGTGTTGTTGTCTTTACACTGTACAATTAGGGGCTGCCACACACTAAAGACAAGTGTGGTAAGCTGATGAGCACTGACAGAAGATGGTAACATTATCTCGCATCTGATTTTATATTGGCATCATAGCGCTTGTGTTTATTGCACCGTCTGTCCTTAAATGATATCACGAACTCAGATTTTCCACAGATTTTATTTCAATGTCTTGCTCAGGGTGTCATGCAGCTAATTTGTAAGATTGTGCTTTGTAATGGAGACAATGTCTGTGCCTGAAATCTTAAAAAAAATAAAATAACCGGAAGCAGATTTTAAAAAGAGATTAAAGAAAATAAGTTGTATCCAGATTTAATTATCGCAAATTCATGAGCAGGTTTATTTATATAGGACCCTAACCTTCGCAAAGGTTACAAATGTTTAAAATATGTCTTAGATAAGACATGCAATACAAACTTGATTAATTAAATTAAATTGATAAACAGTTCAGTACAAGTGGACTGACATGCACACAGATTTATAGAAAAAAATCTGATTGACTATTAACAACTAAAATAATAAAAGCATGCGATAAAGTGTACAATAAAAGATTAAATAAATTAAGATTAAGTAAATTAAAATACAGACAAGATTACTTAAAACAGTGGGAAAAAAACAGTTTTCAGAAAGTCGATGTTGAAAAAGTTTTGGCAGCAATTTTAATATTTGAGTAAACCATAAATGTGTTGATTCAGATTCTCAGATGTAAATATTCTGCATTTCTTCACATTTTATAGTGTTATAGTATCATTTGGTATAAATTGCTTTCACAAAACTAGCATTTAAAATATGTTTTTATGCATTTTTACCATTTTATTGCAATAAATCATCAGAATACTGTGAGACTTATTGATTATGACAATAATTCTTCCTGGTTTGTGTCTTCATGCCCATTTGGAGAAAATATTCAAGGAAAAACTGAAAAAAAAAGAAATATAATGCAGAAGTTCGAACATTATAAACAATAAGAATGCCTTTTCTTATCCACTGTTAAAAAACAAAGCAGATTTCATGAATTCAAGCTTGTTTAAATGACTCATTGGGTGTGTTTTTTGTTTCATTTTGTGTTCCCTGTGTGTCACCCCCCAGACACAGTGTGTGAATATGAGGTCCAGTTCCACCAGCGCCTGGAGCAGGAGCGAGCCCAGTGGAACCAGTACCGAGAGGCCATGGAGAGGGAACTGGGTGATCTGAGACGCCGGCTCACCGAGGGTCAGGAGGAGGAGAATCTGGAGGATGAAATGAAGAAGGTAGGCGTCTATTTTTCAATATTACCATGTACAATTTTGGGATTGTATTTGCAGTTATAGAAGTATTCACCAATGTTTTCAGAGCTGAAAAACAGATTTTTTGTGCTGATCTGGAGTCTGAAGTTCCTGCGTTTCCCCTCAAGCTTTCCCCCCAAAATGTGCCAGATTCTTGAAGCCAGCTGGACTTGTTATGGTGTGTTGACCAATACTGGATTTCGCAAGCGTGCAAACAAAGATTCCCGACCTCACATCCCAGAAAAACAGCAGTTACAGTGTGGATATATTCTTGAATAAGGCTGAATATGTGGGTGCGTGGTGATTAAGAGAGTGATTTACATCACATCCTTCAGGTTTGATTGGATCGCTCAAAAGCTGGCGATGAATGCAGAGCGATACAGAGCCGTGATGACTGTTGGCCTCCATCCACACTTCCCTCACCCACGTCGTTAGATCGAGTTGTAGACAAGAGAGAAATTAATAAATTACAGCACACGTTTTACAGAGAGAGAGAGAGAGATCCAAAAACACACTGTGATATCTCATCATCACGAATCACACAAGATTTGACCCCCAAGTTCAACATCTCACAGGGATATTGTTCACAGATATTGATATATTAACACATTTTTTAAATCAAAAGATAGCTTTACTTTTTACTTGAGAACTCCATCAATTTTACAAGCTAAGATGCGCTTACAGGTGAGGAGGAGGAGGATTTGAATCGGCATCATTTGAAAATAAAAGCAATCAGGAATAGAGGCTAGAAAGACGGGAGCAAACCGAACCTCTGCAGGTTGCTTCTCATCGTCATCAAATTACCTCAAACACATTGTGCTACAGCTTTTTTGCTGCTTGATACAGAAGGAAAACATGCATGGCTCTCAGTTTACATGACATGACTAATCTACAAGAGAAGTCTAATTTAGTCCGATATAAGTGTTCTTGGATAAACCAAACTGCTTTATCCAGCTTTCTTTAAGGTTATTTATTTTCTATACAGATACACTTTCCTACAAATGAATAATTCTTTGCAAATAGATTTATTCAAGTCATCTGGGGAAAGTTCCTGCCCCCCCCCCCCCAAAATGCAGTGCAACTACTAGCTATATTCATGCATGCTCCATAGAAAGAAAAATGCACAATGCAAATTTAAAATAAAATACTCCACATTACAGACATATTTGTTC